TCATTGGCATAATACTCTAATCTTTTTAATCATCAGCTACACAAGACAACAAAGGAATGTTTCAATGTTCTTTAAAATTCCTAATAAGCTTGGAGGGATGTCTGTGCTTCCATTTCCATCAGCTTCAACTTTATCTCACTGTAGGCTGATATATGTTTTAATTAATTTGTGATACCAACAGCTTAGGCATTTTGTAAACAACATCTATGTCTTAAATGCTAGAAAGTGAGTCACATAAATAAGTATTTTGTCTCCATCTTCTCATTTAAAATGTGCAATTGCTAAAAACTTCTATTTAAGAATATCTTGGCGGGGGGGCGGTGGCACCTGGGTGGCTCAGTCAGTTGAGTATCTGTCTTCAGCTCAAGTCATGATCTTGGGGTCCTGAGGTCCAGCCCTGCCTCAGGCTCTCTGCTTAGTAGGGAGTCTGCTTCTCCCTCTCCCTCTGCTCCTTTCCCCACTCACTCACACATGCTCATGGCTCGCTCTCTGATAAATAAATAAAATCTTTTTTAAAAAAAGAATATCTTTTTTTTAAATGATATTGCAATATTTTAGCCTAATCTTTTCACTAAATACAAGGACAAACCATACCACTGCGGGAGTCTTTTCCCCATATTTAATTATTAACCTACCTGACTTCAGATGAAGTCTTAAAGTCCTCTTTGTAAAATAAATGGACTTCATAAACTCTACAGAACTTTTTCTGTGTTCCCTGTTCAAGTTCTTTATTTTAATAACAGGCTTCTGTGTAATTAATCCCTTGGAGCTTGCCGTCACATAATCTACCCTGTGTATGAACTGTTCCATGTGTATTTTTCTGGTAACAAGACCTCTGGAAAAAATAAACAAATAAACAAAGACCAAAAAGAAAATCATGCACAAGGGCACAAATTGTGTGAAATACACCCCATCTCATACACTTATAAACCAGGCAACAAGGATAGAAATTCTCAATCCATCTTATCAGAGATCTGGGGAAAAGGGGTTTCACTCTAAAGAATTTTTTCCCTGTGACAGGAAACTGTAATATTTCCTTATTTGAGAGCTAAGGCAATAAGGAATCTTAAATAAATGGTTCCTAACTACTGCTATTCAAGCAGAGCTGTGTTGTTTTTTTTCTTAATTGAATTGTCTCCCACACTTTTTGCCTAGTCACAGAAGTTAAGAATTTAGCTGAGAAAAATTCCTGTGAACCGAAATTTGAACAATAAAGCTAGGATTTTATTATTTCTCATAAAGTCATTTCACACATGTTAAGCAGTGCCCAGTCAAAGGAAAACTACTATACATTTATTATTTGAAAACATTTTTTAAACTTGCAAAATTCTCATTTCAAAATAGAGAAAAATGCAATTTTTGCAGAGTGAATGGGGACCACACTCATTCCATAAAAAAAAGGATTTCCTGTAAAAACAGAAATTGGCAATTTAGTCTAAGAAAACACAGCGAAAGCTGGGAAGAAACTTGAGGATGCTTAAATTTCCACTGTGGAACAACTTCTGCTGCCCAGTGGGAAGGGAAAAAAAAAACACCTGCAACAGGATGGGAGGAGAAGAAGACAAGCTAGGACTACACTCCTGGAGAGGAAAAAACGAGGCAGGTCCCTAGTCTATGAAGCAGGGGCGCTAACAGGAAAGGAATATATATATCCCAAGAAGAATACCAAGGCAAACTCTGCAGTTAGTCACCTGTCACATCAGAGAAAGACGAGAAGGCAGTATTTGTGGAAGAGACGAGACCAGTGCACGGGGAAATATTAGTGAGGTGCTGAAAGTTGCTGCCACCAACTGGGCATCAGGCAGACTTGGGGTTACAAATCACTCTCACGTCATTAAACCGTGCATTTCCATCAAAATGGTAAACAGGTTTTACTGTAGTCAAAGAGGTTAGTTTTGAAGCTGGTAATATTTTAACTAGCAAAAATAGAAATTTTAAGCAATAACTGGAAAAATGTTACACACAACTGCTTTTCCTGATGATTTATACAGCAGGGCATGGTTAAAAGACTTATTCATGTGACACTGTAATAGCAATAAGCAGAGAGAATACCTTTTAAATGCTATTCAAATTCAAAATCAGAATTGGTACTTGTTTAAAATCTATGGGAAAACCTTTATGCAGAGATTCTACTTTTATTAATTTGTGCCACATATAAATTTGCGCATGTACACACACAGGCGGGTAGAATTTGGGAGTACCAAAAAAAAAAATTAATATATCGAGAGAGCCATCATTAGGGAACTATTCTAGCCACGTTATGGGATCCTATACACAAGAGAATGCACAAGATACATCCATATGAATTAACAGATGGATGCACGAAAGATATACAGAAGTGAGCAAGGTTTAGAACAGCATGTACAGTATATTGTATGTATTAAATAGGAACACACTATACATATACATACACATGTATATATTATGTATATATATTTGCATATGCATATGCTTATAATAGATCTACAAAAATATACACGAAAATGGTGTCTGATAAGAGAGAAATTTTTTTAATTGCATGTCCTTTTAAATTATCATTTTTACCTCCCCAAATATACATATGTATATGTATATATATAACCTTATATGAGAATTCTAAAAATAAAAATTTATATTATGAGGGTTCATTATTATATTTGTATGTGATATATTACACTGTAAATGTTAATTATAATTATTTTTTAAATCTTTATATATATGTAAAATCTTACAGATAATGTGAGAGTGAGGCATACTCATAATTACTGTTCTACTAATAACACCTTTTTAGGAAGGCTTTATGAATAGTTTGCAATAGCATAACATCTATGTTAGTGACCAAAAACTATGAGGAACACTGAGAGGTGTTTCCCTATAATCATTAAAAAAGTAAAACCCAAGAGAAATAAGTGCTGGTGTGAGTAAAACTAGGGACATTCTCTTAAGCAACAAAGTAAAGCTTAGTTTCTGTTTTCACATTGAGTTGGTGCCTCCTAAGAAAACAACACTGGTTGGGGATAGCACATAGAGATGAGACAAATGTCTGGAGGGGTCTAACATCTCCCTGCAGACTTTCATTCCCAAAATTAAACCCCCCTTCCTCTCTTTCTATAGTAGCAATGCCATCAAGCTTAGCTATTAAGATAATATATATAACAGAAATACATATTTTTTAAGGAAAAATGTTAGACTAACTCAGGTCCTTTGAAGAACATATGAAAATCAGAGTTTCAGTTCATCTGTTGAACTTGCTTGCATGGGCCTTGCACACAGCAATGAACGTCTGCTGCCTGATCAGAATCAGGCTTAACATGATAAGCAAATTTCCTTTCCAACACTGTTGGAGTCCTGGATTTATTTTCCACAAAGGCCAAGATGGAACTAAATTAATCATAACTATTTCCTGGGGCCAGAAAATCATGCATATTTTACCACAGCCCAAGCGCTTGGCCCTGACCATCACGTTGTCCCTTCCCTGGTCTAGACCAAGACTCAAAAACTGGTCCATTCAGTTTACTGCACTTTTTCTTCCTGTACCTGGGACATACAAACTCAAATTTTACTCCATATATATAGTTAAAACAGCCCATAACAAAAAGGAATAAAGGAAATGTTCAGCCACAAAATCGGACTGGACACCATCACCTGGTGTCTCAAGATCATATAATCAAGCTACAGAACTACTCAAAAAGGAGCAACAATGAGACTGAAAAGAACATAATAGAAAACGTCTGTGTACGCATACTGTCTGGGCTCATTTAACAGACTCCTCCAAGGAGATAAAATGGATCATTTTAGTAAGCTTCTATGGAGGCTTGAATTTAAACAATCTTGCAAAGACAGATTTTTCTTTTAATCTGAACAATTTTAAGGAAAATGTATTCCCACCCTTCTTCAATTCAGGGAACTGAAAGTCCTTATACAGTCAACCTGCCTAATTTAAAAATTTACTGCTGAAACATTTCCTGTAATAGGGACTTAGGAAGCCAGTGAAATGCTCAATTGCATGTACATAACACATAAACCACTGGTTAAAAACACCACTTTAAGGCCGGCCACAGAAGCATTACTCCCCCAATGAAATGAAGAGCCCCTTACAATCTGAAAGAACCCAAGTTCTCCAAAAATTTGCCCTGCTCTGCCTCCAGGGTAGACATCGGAAAGGCAGTATCAACCCGAAAACTCAGTCCCTAATTTTAGTAAGCATAACTCAGAGGAGAGCCAACCCTTGACAGTGTCTTCCCTGACCCTGTCATTAGAATTCCTTTCTTTCCTTGCCCCCTTACCAATAGAGCATCTGCAAAGGTGCCCACAAGGCAAGCACTTTCCCCTAAACACAACCGGAATTGGTTAAGAAGGGAAAGGAACGGGCTTCTCTCCGTCTCAGTCGCAGCTCCTCCCCTCCTTCCTCAAAGAATCCTTCTCGCCTCCAAAAATCGGCCGCGACAATGGCCCAAGATTCCTTTTAACCATGGCATCGCCTCTAAAGCAGAAATCTTTAAAGAGCAGAAGCAAAGTGGTTTAGCCTCGAACGGGGCGAGGGCTGGACACCCCCTGCACTTCTAAGGTGCCCCCAGGAGATCTTGTCAAGGATCCTTCTGGTGTGGAGAATCGACCCTGTCCGTTCCCTCCGGATCTTGATACTCGGGAGAAGAAGGAGGGGAGACCCACACCAAAGGAGCCGGCCCGTTCCATTACCCTTTAAGAGCGTCGTGTCCGCCGCCGCCTCTTCTCTTGGCCCGGCTGGCTCTGGTTTCCTTCACGTTCCCAGCCTCCAAATTGGCGTCCGCCCCATGGCTCGTGTAGGACGCTAGGAGCACGATAAATCCCAGGACGACCTCCAGCAGCCCTCCTCGCCGCATGATGCCGAGCGGCCGCCGGCTCCCACCGCCTCTCGCCGCGCCCCGGGCTCGATCCGCGGCCGCCGCTGCGCCCTGAAGCGCGCCGCGCCGCCGGGGTCCCGCTCTCCCGCCGCCCGTCCCCCGGGCCGGGCTCCTCCCGCCTTCTCCAGGCGCTGCTCCCACTTCAGGCGGCCCCTGCCAGCTGCAACAGACAAATCGCCGAGGCGGGGAGACGTTCAGGGCACCGGGATGCTGGAGCCTTGGGGTCCCCATTCCCGAGCCCAGCCCGAGCGCCGCCTGAGCGTGGCGCAGTTACTTTGGGTAAGTGAAGACCGTTTGGTCCACAGCTGGCTGAAAAGCGCAGGCCCCCGCCGGCCGCGGCTCCAGCCAACCTCTCGGCCTCCCGGACGCCGCCTGAAAAGCGCGTCGCAGAGCACCCATGTCCCGAGCGGTTCTAAACCCCGTGGCCGGTTCGCTGGGTTTGTTTATTTTTTTAATGGCACAAAATGCGCGCGATGCGCCCCAGCTTCCCTGACTGTCCTCTCCGCCAAGCCGCGGGGCTGGAAGCCCGCCGCGCCGTCCCGGGCCGGCTCCGGGCGCTGCCACCGCCCGCCGAGCATCTGACGCGGAGCCCGACACCGGGAGCCCCGGGCCAGGAAGCTGTCAGGCAGGGGAGGGCCGGCGCCAGCTGTGGACGTTCCGGGACAGCCCCTCACCCAGTCCCTGTCCCTGCCCTCAGCGCGGCGCAAACGCAAAAGCCTCCGTGGCTGCAGCTCCAGCCCCGGTGGCCGCCCGACCCCTGTCGGGACCCTGGCTGCACCCACTGGAGAAGCGGTGGCTCCGGCTCCCGAGGTGGCGGCGGCTGTTCCTCGGTCCTGGCCGCGGCAGCCGCTGCCCCGCTCCGCCCGCAGCTGTCCCAGCTGTGGCCGCCCGTCCGCCTGTGGCACCCACAGTCTCTGCCGCGGCTCCTGCGGCCCCCTCCTTTCCCCACCTCTTCAAGTATCGTCTGCGCAGCGGTTTCTCGCGAGAGAAATACTTTTTTAAAAAAAAGAAAGAAAAAGAAAATGACACCCCCTCCTACATCCCCCTCATCGCCACCCCACCCCTCGGCCCCATCCATCCTCCCTTTCCACTCCCCTTTGCCAGCCACCGCCTCGGCGCGGGGGCCTCCCTAGCTCGCAGGATTAGCGCAGCTGGGAGGAGGCGGAGGTGATCAGGTTCTGCCCGGCCTGGGATTTTTTCGTTTTGGGGTGAGGAGCTGGGGGAATGGGAAGAAGTGGACTAGTGGGTTAGCTCTCTCTGCCGCTGGGAGGTCTAGACCCGAGATTAGCCTCTCCCGTGATCTGGGAAGCCCGGCGGGCGCGGAAAGCTGTGCCACCTGCACCAAGAACGCACGTTGGAGACGGCGGCCCCGGAGGCCCCGGAGGCCCCGGCGACCCCGGCGCGAGGGGAGACGCGTCCTAGCTGCCCGCGCCTCCCCGGCGCCGCCTCCCTGCGCCTCTCCGGCCCGGCACCCAGCGGGGACCGGAGTCCCGGAGGCTGGGGCAGGGCGCGTCGCGGGCCATGGCACCGGTAGCTACAGGGGCTGGTGTGCGGGGGTGGAAGGGGTCTCCGCCGCTGCCACTTGCCCCCTGGGTGTCGAGTGCCCACTCAGGGCACTGCTCTTCTGAGGCTCAGGTCAAGCCACCCAGGCTGATCCAAGATGCTGCAAGTGCCTGAGTAGGATCCCTCTGATTCACAGGCCTGTGAATGTTGGAATTGGAGATCTGGTATGGGGGTGTTGAAGGGATGGTCCTCCTGCCCAGCCTACAGCTAACTAAGATTGGGCTTCTCCTAGACAATCCTAGTTCACCTCCCCAAACACACACACACACACACACACACACACACACACACACACGCGCGCGCGCGCACAGCCTCTCCAGGACAAGCAAGGCACAGTGTCTTTGGAGAATACATTATTTATGGCATCCTTATATGGATAAGGCTGTGTTGCCTATACTCTGTAAAGGCTTGGGAGGGCAGGAAATCGCACCCTGGGCCCTGGCCGCTGGAACTGGAGACCCCAGAAAATCCCCGTGTGGCAGCCACAGCCGTCAAACCAGAAGTAAGAGCTCAGCACAAACAGGAATTCTGTTGAAGGGGGCTTTCCTTATTTGCAATTGTTTGTGCCTAGATAATAGGGTATAGGGACCTGGGCAAGTTATTTAACCTCTTTCCGATTGCCAGATGGAAATAATAATGTTGACCACACAGAGTTATCAGGGCGATGATGAGCCTGCTGAACAATGACAAGTGAACTTGGAAGATGAAAACAGTGAAACTGTCAAAAATATAAGCCCATTTAAAGTCATAGTTCTAGAAGTATGTAGTGCTTAAGGTCTCACCTGTAAAACTTCTCTTAGCAGATTTATGAATTGGAGGCTTGGTCACACACTCTTGGTTGACATTCATCCAAGATGTAAATTTACTGAGCACCACCTATGTACCAATTGGTGCATGACTGAACCTGGCTCTGTGGTGAGCAAGGCAGAAATGTGTTTTCCTTCACACAGCAGATAGTCTACAGGGAAACTTAACTTGAAAAAATAATGATCCAATTGTTAAATGCCAAGAGGAAGAAATACTGGATGCTTGCTTGGAGGATATATAACAGGGGGACTTGACCTAAGCTGGGACTGATCAGGGAAGGCTTTCCTGAGGAAGTGATATTTAACTTATGTCCAAACACTTACCTAGACTTTACATATGGTAGTGGCTCTCAACCCTGGCTATACAGAATGACCTGGGACCTTAAAAAAAACAAAACAAAACTGACAGCACGAACCAGCCCCCAGAGTTCTGATTGAAATAGCCTCGACTGGAACCTTGATGTGGGCATTTTTTTTTTTTTTAAAGCTTCCCAGGTACAGAAAGGTAAGGGAGTTGTTTGGACCGGGAAGAGGATCTAAGCAGAGGAATCATGGCTCAGGAGAAGCATGGCTGTTGGAGATCCAGGAAGCTCCCACAGTATTCTGGACTGTTCTTCACCCTCTGAGGAATCTGGAAACTCTGCCCACTTTCCCTACACTCCAGCAGCATGTGAGACACTGTAATCTCTCTTAGAATCTTCCACTCAGTGCCATGATGCACAGCAGCAGCTGAACACAGGCTTTTCTAAGGCTTTTGCCCACAAAACAAAGAGCAAACCTGGGTGCCCTGCAAGCCCCCTTCCAACATTTCTGAACAATTCTATTAGGTACTCCTAACTCAACTCCAAACTGCCTTCCCAGATTTTACCTCTAAGGGAGAGATTTAGATTAAAGTTTGCTTCTGGCCTGTGCCCTTTTTTCCCTCCTCTTTTCCCCTTGGCTCCCTCCTTCAGTAGAGCAGAGACTTTCTACTTCCTCTTCATATTGGTTGGGAGCTCTACACCCCACAAACCGCCCTTTTTGGGCAATAAGTCTCATGGCTTAACCAAAAGGGGGTAAGAGAAAAAAAAAAAAAAACCCTGTTCCCTAGAAGACAAATGCCACTTTTAAATATGTAAGAAATATTCCCATTATCTAGGCAATCTACATATATTAGAGCAGCATGTTACCAGTAACAAAATTTGGTTAACAAATACAGAAAATTATGTCTTTGCAAAAAGATTTTCTTGATGCCAGTTGATCCAGGAGCCACTCTCTTTTAAACTCATCACAGTTTATAACACTGTTTGTAAAATAAGTCCAGGCTAGAATTCCCTTGTTTCTCCTCTGCATTTCAAAGGATTCTCACCCACTGTAAGAGAATCTGCTCAAATTCCTGTTGTTCATGAGGAATTCTTGCTCATGATATCTCTCTTGTTCGAACTTCCTTGCACCTAATTGAATCATTCACTTAATAATGTATTAATTGTAATACATAATTATAGTATGTGTGTCAAGCACTATGTCAGGCACTAACAATGAGAATATTTACATATTGTTTGGGTGAACTATAATTTTCTGTAATTATTATATTGATTCTCCCTAGCTGGATTACAGACCCTTAAGGACAAGGCTGTATTCCTTATTCAAGGAAATTTGTACAGTGTCCTGAAAACTGTTACAAAAGATAACTACTTTGTTGGCTGCTGTTTGATCATTTCGTATTCTGGCTTCCAGACCACTCTCATTACTCCATATCTACTGAATAAATATCTGTGTCAGCAATCTTGGTCTACAAGAAAACTAACTCTAGATAATTTAAACAAACAAATAAAATTGCTTAATGTATTATCAGGTTATGAGATTGCTCATTGAACCTGACTCTGGAATAAAATGGGAACTCATGCAGTTCTGGGTAGAGGCAGCAGAAACAAATGGAGAACCTCTTCAAGGTAATACTGTTTGGGTGAATCAATTCCAACCATTTTCGTCCTTCTGCCACCTCTCTTAGGGTTCAAATTCAAAGGCTAGGGTCCAACTGGCCTAGCTAGTTTAAGGAACCTGCCCACAGTCCTAGTCAGGAGATGATGGAGCATCCTGATACATGGTCCTAAAAAGATGCATGCCATGGGAAAGGGGTTACTCCATAAAGGATGACCAAAACACTATTACCCAAAACTGGGGGCATTGATGCTTGTCAGACACACACACACACACACACACACACACACACACACACACAAAATGTCTGGATGTCCCTGTACCACCTCAAGAGCTTTCAAGGACGTTTAGAGTTTACTGAGATAAAGCATTTCCAAGAGCCTAAGAAGAATACTCTAAAATCAGATTCTAGGTCTTTTATGAAAACTAAAGCATTATTTTGTGAAATGAGTTAACTAGAACTTTCATGTAGCCCCAATTCTCTCCACTGATGGTGGCAAATAGATCCTTTATAATACAACCAGTCATAGCATCAAAACCTAGCTTTGGACTCAGAGTGGAATACTGCTCACATTGTAGAATTTTGAAGTTACAAAAACAGAGTGCATATATAACAGCTACCAGAAACCATACCTACTTACATCAGACAAACAATACCAAATCACATACATCATCTCATTTAATCCTCACAACTTTTATGGTAGATTGAAAAATATGAGCACAATATTTCTTATCATCTTCCATCAAGAAGTAGAGACTATCAGGTGCCCGGGTGGCTCAGTTGGTTAAGCATCTGCCTTCGGCTCAGGTCTTGATCCCAGCGTCCTGGGATCGAGCCCGGAGCGGGGCGCTGGTGCTCAGCGGGGAGTCTGTGTCTCCCTCCCCCTGCTCTAGTGTTCTCGCTCGTTCTCCCTCTCTCTCTCTCTCCCTCTCTCAAATAAATAAAATCTTTAAAAAAAAGAAGAAGAAGGAGAAGGAGAAGAAGTGAAGACTATTTCCCAACTATTTCCCTTTGAATCTGATTTGGTCTTGAGGCTTCCCTTAACCAATAGAAATACGGTGGAAGTGACGTTGTATGACTTCCAAGGCTAGGCGTTAAGAGACCTCACAGCTTCCTCTTTTGCCTTGAGATGTGAGGGTAAACATTGGCCTCAAGATGTTAGAGCTCTAAGATAGCCATGCCTTGAAAAAGTCCAAGATGAAAAACTATGTCTCAACTAAGCTGAGACCCTCACCAAGCTGCCAGCTAAATGCAGCTACAAGCATGAGCTCAGTAGATCAGCATAATTGCCCAGTGAACTCACAGAATAAAGATATCATTGTAGTTTTAAGCCTCTTAATTATTAGGGTAGTCTATTATACAGGAATAGATAACTAATACAAACTTAGGAGGGAAAATATTTCTGTCTCAATTTTAATAGATAAATAAACTCACATTCAGAAAAGTCAAGAAACTCACTCACATTCATAAAACTGGTACTAGAGGCAGGGCGAGGTTCAGAACCATGCCTTTGACAACAAGTCAAGGGTACTCTTCCTTTCATCACCACTACTTCGTCCACCTGCCATAAAAATGCCAGTCAAGATCTAGGGTTGATGTAGATGGTAGCCACTCCCAGTATCCATAACACATGGTATTATTATGGATAATTCATTCCTTGAGCTTCATCGCAGTCTGAATGCACACTGCATCCTATGTGAGAGCTCCATTCACTGCATGCTACAGTCACTAAGCTCTCCCCAGGAAATGAAAGGATCCTAACAGCTGCTCTAGTCAACTTCCCTGCCTCTCGGCTTCAGTTTCTAGTTCCTACTCACATAGAACAATTCCTTGTATATAGCAGGTATTCAATGAAGAGTTGTTGAATGCACAGATGAATATGTGAGCTTCCTTTCAAGATGGTTATACGATGGCAACTTAAAAACCTCACCCATTCTTCCTTATCACTCTGTGTTGAAGAAAGCCTTAAGGCTCCCAGCTACTGATGGAGCCCTGCCACATCACATTGCCTGGTTGTGCTTTAGACGTTCCATCTTGGGAGGTAATAGGAGTGAATGGGTCTTGGCTTTGAAAAAGAACGGAAGGTCCAGTTAAGCTGCCTGCTTGCTAGCAGAGTACTTCTATATACGTCCCATTTATTATTGTTTTTGTTGCTGTTGTTTAGTTCATGTATTCATTTAACCAACTTCAGTTGAAAGTCAGGCACGATATGCTAGCTGTGGTCAGAAGCTGAGGATTGGACTGTGAAGGAGCTGCCATATCTGCCTGTGAGAATCACAAGGTCTAGGGCATTGGAAGAGACCCCTTTAGTGACAACTACCGTTTCTCAAGCCTGGGTTATGCGAGCACTGTGTTCAGTGGGAAGTTGGTAATGGTCTTCCCATTTTACAGTTTTAGAGAGTTTGAGTTTAAGGAAGGGCAGTTTAAGTTGACATAAATAGATATTCCTTTTAAGGAAAATTTGTACATGTTTCTGTCTGTATTTATACTCGGGCTCCTAAAATTCTGCTTCAATGTAAAATTCTGGCTTTGTGAGGGGGGAAAGTGAAAAAGAAAAAAAAAAAAAAAACAACTTTAAAATGTATGCATGCTATTCAACATGGAGGCGGAGGTCGATAAGCTGGAACTGATGTTCCAGAAAGCTGACTCTGATCTGGATTACATTCAATACAGGCTGGAATATGAAATCAAGACTAATCATCCTGATACAGCAGGCAAGCTGTCACCACCAAGTAAAGAAGAGAAAACTGCGGCAGAGCAATTAAAATCTTTCATCTTTTATGAAGAAATGGACTTGCAAAAGGGAATTCTACTGGAGAAGAGATCTATCCCAGAAAGATTTAGGAAGATGTCTTGTTAGCACTTGATGACTAGAGGTGGGGGTGATGGAGAAGAAGAAGATTTGGCTGGAGTGATTGGATAATGATGCCTTTCACAAGAGAGGGGACTATAAAAAGGGCAGATATTATAGGAATAAAGTTTAGTGAAAAGGATGGAATGGGAATAAAGAGATTTAAAAATATATATACACACACACTTAGTCTTATAATTTTGAGCAAGGAAGTCACATAACTCTATTTTGCATCTGTTTTTGTATAATTGGGATAATATGGATGTCCTTGCCTATCATGAAAGGATATAGATACTATCAGTCAAATGTGAATGAGCATGCTTTGGAAATTAAAGGATAGAAAAAATATTTGTATTACATTATATATATGTATATAATTTTACTTTTGAAAATTTTGATTATAGATAATGGTCACATTATTAATGAGACTACTAATATGTGACCTATAGTCCTCCACAAAAGCTAACTTTAGTAATAATAAATTGGCTTTTCTGTGAAAAAAAAAATAAAATGTATGCATGCTAGAGAAGGAATGTGATTTTTTTCATTTTAATTATTTTCAGAGGTTTTATTGTAGAAATATTTGAGGTATTTCAAGAAAATGGCATTTTTTGTAAGTATTTTCCCATAATCCCACCACCTTCACACAATTGTTTTTATTTATTTTTTTTTTTTGCTTCCCTCTCTAGTCTGTGTCCATATGGTGCAATTTACACAGTCTAACCAAGGTGTGTGCGTGTGTATAGTTTTGGGTTCTGCCAAAGAGGGAAGAGAACTTGTTCAGCACTGCAGTGTTTAAGCTTCACATTTTGCAGATGAGGTTCCCGGGTGAGGTTTGCCTAGCTGTACTTCTGGCAGAAAGCATGCACAACTGTTAAATTATGTTATTGAAATAACTTTCATTACCTCAATCCCCCAAAGCAAACAGTTCCTCCCCACCCAAAACAAAAGTTCTGCTTCCCACACTTCATTTCATCTGTGTTTGCCATGAGTTCTGTGACCCACCCTGGTATTCCCTGTCATTTTTTTTTTTCTACCAGACATAACAGATACCAGCTCAACAGCAGAGGGGAATAGAGAAAAGGCCTGGACAACAAGAAAGGACATAACATTGTAGCTGTCACAAATTAAAAACACCTTCTCTCTTAGCTCCATTCAACAGCATTTGCCAAACACCAGCTCTGTGCTCCACACTATGGTAGACCCTGCAGAAGCCACCATAGAGTGTCAGCACTGGGTCCTCCCAGAAAGTTTACACCCTCTCTCAGGAGGGAGACATCAAGTGCCTATAGCAGAGATCAGCAAATTTTCCATAAAATGACAGTCACTAAATATTTTAGGCTTTGTGGGCAGAGGCAAAAGAAAGCAAATTTCCACAAAATTTACTGACAAAAGTATTTATGGGCACCAAATTTAAATATCACATAATATTCACATGAAACAAAATACTAGTCTTCCCTTGAGTTTTTCAACAATTTAAAAGTGCAATAACAATTCTTAGCCCGCGGGCCGTATAAAAACAGGCTGTGGGATGAGATGAGGCCCCTGGGCTGTGGTTTGCCAACCCCTGATGGAGAAGACGGAAGCAAGCACAGAAAATGCCTGGGGATTAGCCTGCAAAATGGGCGGCACCAAGACAGAAGTCCAGGGAGGAGAGAGGTGGGGTGGGGTGGGGTGGGCTTGTCCAGTCAGGAAGACTTAATGGAAGAGATGGGATTTGAGCAGTGCCTTGAAGGGAGGGTAGCATTTGGCTGCCTGAAACAGTCTGGGAGAACATTCCAGTGGAACCGATGAGCATGAGGCAAAGGCAGAAAGGGAGGAAAGATCATGGGCCAAAGGAGACTATGAGGTGTTTCCCCATCCTTCACTGTGACATACCTCTAGCTCCCCAAGGCTTCTGTGACACGCCCTGGGCCCAGTGCTGATGGAGGGGAGGGGTCCTGGGGGCTTGTGGGAGGAGGCCTTTAAATGACCATGATTAATCATGTTATACGAATATTTACAGTACTCATCACCCAAGCTTGTTGGAAACACTGAGATTGGATCAGTAGTTTAAAACTGATAGAGGACAAATTAGACTTTATTTTTCTTCATCAGGAGACTGTTCGGGTTTCAGTTAGTCACCTATTTTAAGGAATTTCTGTGGACAACTCGCTTTTCTCAGGATCTTAATAATATTCTAATCATACCAGGAAATGCCACATGCCCTAACCCAAATTTTCATGGCCAATCTCAAGGTTTGAATCAAGTTAGGAATGACAGGTAGCTTTGCTTAGTGACATTTATTTTTTTCCTACAGGTTTTTGTTTTTACTTTCAATCTAAATTTTCTCTAAGAAGTTAGTAATTAGTGGATACTAGTAAATACTGGATACCTTAAGAATAAATGTTCTTCCTGGCTGACTTTATCTATTCCCATGATTTCACCTCCTTCTCATAAAATGCTACTAACTCCCAGATCTGTATCTTCAGCCCAAATATCTCCCTAGAGCTTCAGATTTAGCTGCCCAAGTTCCTGCTGGGTGTCTCCACCTCATCCTCCCACAGGCTGGGCAGCAGCCTCCAAGATCATCCCCAAAGATCTCCACCTCTTGGTACTCATGCCCTTGGGTAATCTCCTCCCCTTGAGTGTGGGCTGGACCTAGTGACTCACTTCTAGCAGCTAGAGGGTGGCAGAGGTGTTGAGATGTCACTTGTGATATTAAGTTACAGAAAGACTTGGATTTCATCTTGCTTGCCCTTTCTTGCTCTCCTGCTGGCTCATGTTGCTGGAAGCCAGCTGCTGTGTTCTGAGCTGCCCTATAGAGAGGCTCTGTGGCAAGGAACCAAGAGAGCCCAATAGCCAGTGAAAACCCAAGGCCCTTGTACAACAGTCCTGGATGAACCCATTTCTGCTAACAACCACAGGTGAGCCTGGAAGCCTTCCACTGAGACCACAACCCCAGCCAACAACTTGATTGCAGCTGCAAGAGACCTGGAGCCCAAGGCACACAGCTGAGCAGTGCGCACAGAGACCCACAGAAACTGAGATAATAATTGTGTGGTGTTGGCAGCCACTAAATTTTGAGCTAATTCATTCCACAGAAATAGATAACTGATATAACAGCAAACTCCCTAAACCCGTTCCTTCCCCTAAATTCTCTGTTTCTGTTGCCAGGACTGCCATATATCCACTCACCTATGCTAGACATCCTTCATTTGTGTTTCTTACATCTACAAAAGCTCAAATGCTTTTGTATTTTTCAATCACAATTGACATGACTTAGCTGAAAATTTGCCTCCTATGAGTTCCATCTGGAAATCAAGCTGTTCGTGCTACATAACATGCTGCAGCAGAAAATGTCTCTATTTCTACATGATTTTCCGCTAGCAACAATATTAGTGACATCATATTAGATAACTTTCCACAGATAATCAACCCCTGGGAAGTGTCCAGAGTGATAGAATGGGAGAAAGGAGAGCCTGGGAAACTAGAAAATGATGCCTGTAGCTTGAACGTCAATCGCAGAAATAGGGATGGGACAAGCATGGGATTAGAAGACAAATGTGGGTCCTGGTCTGGGCTTCACTCCTAATCTGCTGTGTTCTTGGCAATTCGCTTTACTTCTGGAAGCCTCAGTTTCCTCTTCAAGAAGACGAGGGGGTTAAATTTCAGTGGAATGCAGAGCCCTGGGTGGGTTGCTTCAAGATGAATTAAGGAGCTTGTCAAACTTCAGATTCCTGTCCCGAATACTCACACCATGCTGATTCAGTAGGTCTGAGATGTGGCCTAGAAATCTGTATTTCTAAAGTGACCAGCTCTCCGAAGTATATCCAGGTATAGAAATCCTTAACTTAACCCTCTCAAAGGAAATTTACAATTCTAGTGCTATAATTGCCAAGCAGTTTCTATTTTATGCCAATTGTACTTTGCGTGTACTTTATAAAACATACAAAAGATTAAAAATTTATAGGATGATTTTGTGTGTGTGCATATATGTGTTAAGGGGTTCTATGCACAATTTCCAAGGTGTGTGGGGGTGGGGGTTTCCCCACAACACCAAGGAGCAGTTCTTGGACACCAGCTAGGTGTCCCATAATTCAACTCACTTCCGACACTATCTACCAGAGATAGCATCATATTCCACGGGCTAAGGAATCAGTCTCCTGAGGTTGCCCTCCACTTGAGATGCCAATCACACACCCGCTTGGTTATCTGTGCTTCTGGCCAACTGACTACAGGCTGGAGATTCCAACAACCCCCTCCTTGGGTTACAGGTTAAGGGCTCACTCCTACAAGACTGCGCCCTCCCCTTTAGGTGTCAATGGCAAGTCCAAGTTGGCTCCCGTACTTCTGACCTAACAACTATAAACCAGACGTTCCCATCACCCTTCTTGGGTCTAATTAATCTGCTAGCATAGCTCACAACTCAGAGAAACATTCTACTTACTAGATGACAGGTTTATTATCAAAACAGATAACTTGGGAACAGCCAGATGGAAGAGATGCAGGGGACAGGGGGTGGAGCTTCTATGCTATTTCGGGGTGCACCACTCTCCCTAAATCCAAACATGTTCACCAATCTGGAAGCTCTCCAAATTCTCTCCGTTTTTTTTTTGTTTGTTTTTATGGAAGCTTCGTTACATAGGCATGATTGATTAATTCATTGGCCATTAGTGATTGATTCAACCTCCAGCCCATTTCTTCTCCCTCAGGAATCAGGGGTTGGGACTAATATTTCTACCCCTCTATTCATGGTTGATTCTGCTGGCAACCAGCCCCCATCCTTAGGTGATTTCCAAAAGTCATCTCATTAACATAAACCCAATTGTGGTGGAAAGGGACCTGTTATGAACAACAAAACACCCATTTACCTTTTTGTCTCTGAA